GGAGAAGGAGAAGGAGAAGGAGAAGGAGAAGGAGAAGGAGAAGGAGAAGGAGAAGGAGAGGAGGAGGAGGAGGAGGAGGAAGAAGAGGAGGAGGAGGAAGGAGAAGGAGAAGGAGAAGGAAGAGGAGGAGGAGGAAGAGGAAGAGGAAGAGGAAGAAGAAGAAGAAGAGTTGTTGTTTAGTGGCAAGGAAGCCAACCCTAGAAGAATTTCCCAAGATGCGTCACATTGCTGTCAAAACAAACTAGCATGAGCATGTTGTCCAGGCAATGGCCTGGAATTAAAGCTTTCACCCAAAACTTTAAAAAGCCACGTTAGCCTGTGGCAGCGAAGACACGGGCAAGATAGTGGAGCTCCCTGGTATGCCAGTTCTCTAGCTTTGGTTTCTAGGCTCCTGGTGCTACACCAGAAACCAGCCCTTACAGCTTGCAAGCACGTTTAGCGTGATACGTAAACTCAGACAATTACGACCTAGTCAAAAGAGCACTGTGAACGATTTCGTGGCCGAATGGCCACTCTCAACAGGGCCATCGCGGCTGTCTGCGTCTTCTGCATTTCATGCCTTTCAGTGGTTTTCCTGTTCCTCCCTCCCTGAACCATCGGTATCGGCACCAGGTCACGATTTACGGATTTTAACCCCTTTGCAGAACCGGCGGGGCTTTTGCTGCCCCTCCTCCCCTCGCTCCCCAGAACCGCTCTTCTAAGCAGAGCAGCTCTTCTCCGCCTCGGGAAGGGGGAAGAAGCTCTAACGGGAGGCGGCAGCTGAACTCTTTGAGCTGCCAGATCCGGGCTGCGAAGAGCAGGACGGCCCCGACCCGGCAGCGGAGAGGAGAGCAGGGCACTTCCCTGGGCCGCCCCGCTCCGCGGCTGCACAGCTGGGCTTCCGGGGGCGGACAGGGCCGGCTGCTCGGGGGCGGCGGGCCCGCCCTCCCGGGAGAAAACCCAGTAGGTTGAGCGCTACTGAGCTGTTTGGGACACGGCTCAGTTCTCCTCTGGAACGGGGGCAAGCCCAGGCCGAAGGGATGCTTGGCGCAAGTTCTGCCCCCCGGCTGCACAGGCCAGCTCCGGTTGCAGCGGGCCTCTTCCCCGGCCCCAACCCGCATCGCGCTGACACTGCGCAACTGAGAAAGGCGGGGGGGCAGCACCGTTTGCCCGCAGCTTGCCCGTGGCAGGACAGCTTCTCCGGCGGGACAGCAGATCCCATGCCCGGATGGGAGCACAGCTGCGAGCGAGAGCAGCGCAGCGGCTATGCGGCGGTGCGGCAGCTGGGAGCAGAGGGCGAAGGGCCGCTCTCTGCTGCCCCCTACGGTGCTCGTCCGCGCTGGCGCTGCGAGCCTCCAAATGAAAGCCGGGCGCGGAACGCCCCTCCGGCCGCGCGCCGAGCGGCCTGTCTCGGCGCGCACGCGCAGAAGCTCCCCGCGACTGAATGGCCGGCGAAAAGAGAAAGCCTTTTCGCTAGCGTGCGCATGCGCGCTCGTCGCCCGCCGCCATTTTGACCGGTGAGGTGATCCGGAGGCTGCGGCGATGGCGAAGGACGCGGAGCGGGCCGCGTATGACTTGCCGCCGGGCGACGCTCCGGCGTTCGACGGCCCGGCGCCCTCTTCCGGCCCGAACCCCTTCATCGAGAAGCTCTTTTACTACGCGGTGGACAAACCGGTCACGCTGTACAGAGGTAGGACGGGGAGGAGGAGGGGCTCCAGAGGCGGCGGGGCGGCGCCTTTGCGACTACATCTCCCATCATCCCCAGGTTGGGAGGCGGGGCGGGGCTTCTCGGCCTGTCGCTCAGCAGCTCGGGGCGGCGGAGGAAGGGTTGTGACACCCACACACACCACACACACAAACTCGCGAGGTGGGCTGGGTGGAGAGCGAAAGACCCCGGGTTCCGTCCCCAGGCGTGTGGACTTCAGCTCCCAGGATTCCGCAGCCAGCATGGCTGCTGATGAGAATT